CCTAAATGTTGGGGTTACAGGTGCATGCCTATAACCAGGGTGGTGCATCTTAAATCCTGATTTCTGATCTATGTGCCAACCCTACTAAGCACCCAGTGCCCTGACTCACACGGGAGGAAACAGACACGTGGTCCAGGATACTTGTCGCATGGAGGGATATTAGGCCCATCTCACTACCACCTGTCTGGTTCCTCATCCATGTCCCTGTGTCTGGGGCGTGTCACTGCAGGTGCTTTCAGCACACACTTCTTCATGTCAGCAGTGAAAGAGTATTCCTTCAGTGGGATTTGACCAGCAGTTCTTCTCCTGAGGTCATTCACTGAGTCCTTAGGCCCTTGTCTGCCTCCATGGCAGCAGGATCTCCCTTCTGTGGTACTGGTACCTACTTCTGGCCTACTATGATGCCCTTGTGCCCTTGTTCTGAGTCAGACTTAGCAAACCTACTTCCCAGCAGGGAGAAGGTGAGTGTCAGGGGAGCAAGGCAACTTCGCTTAGGCTCTGAGGGTGAGGGCATACTGGAATGTGGCCCTGAAGGCCTGTGGCCCTGAAGGCCTGCGTCCCTCCTCTATGAGCAGCTTTCGCTGGTACGATATCTGGCTGCGGGTGCTGCCGGCTAAGAGGAGCAAAGCAGTGGGGAGGGGAAGAGGCAGGAACACAATTCACATCCCACATGGGGCCTGGGGTTCCAAGCACACATGGCCAGGTGACTCCTGGTCTGCATGTCATCTGCTCAAAGGTGTCACTGTACTGCACTCCATTCTACTGGGACTGTCAAGAGAGGTTCCCTCCTCCACGTGGAAACACTGTAGCTCCAGGGAGAACAGAATGTGTGTCTGTGGCTGCTTGTCACACGCCTGTCCCGCTCACAAGATGGGAAACTTGAAGCTCAGATGAAGGGCAGTGCGAGGGGGGGCAGAAGTCAAGTCTGAGGTCGCATGATTCCTGGACAGTGCGGTGGAGGAGCATTCCCAGCACTGCAGAGTTCTCCTGGATGGTGCTGTGCTGGGAGAGCAGCTCCAGCAGCCTCAGCGGCCCCGACCAGTTCATCCAGAGCCCAGCACCCCCTGAATTCACTTGGCCACTGGACCTTCCAAACACCTATAAATGATTCTTCCTGGCCCCTAAACACACAGGTGGCGGTCTTCCATGGCCTGTGGTGGTTCTGAATGCCATCTTGGTTGGAAATCTAAATCTCTCTTCTCATTCTGTTCCCAGATTGCCTTGGGTCCCCAGTGTTTACGCCCATCAAGGCAGACATAAGTGGGAACATCACTGTAAGTACATCATCAGGCATCTGAACCCACCCTGCCAGGTCCCAGGCTGAGTTCGGGGAAGAGGACAGAGACTGTAGAGTCCTAGCCCCTCACCTGCCGGACCAAGGTTCTCAGTGCCCCCTTGCAAGTACACAATCCAGGATCATCCAGATACTCTGCTGCCCGCTCCACCAAACAAGAACTCCAGAGATGGGGAAGTGGTTCAGTTTTACAAACATGCAGGCCTGATTTAGGACCCCTAACCCATGTCAAAGTATCACTGGGCAGCACAAGAATAATCCTGGTGCTGGAGGAACGGAGAGAGATGGGTCCCTGATGGTCACTGGCCAGCCAGTGAGAGGCTGTACCTTAAAAAGAAATAAAGGTCGGGCTGGGCAGTGGTGGCGTATGGTTTTAATTCCAGCACTCGAAATCCGAGGCCAGCCTAATCTATAAAGCGAATTCCAGGACAGCTAGAACTGTTACAAAGAGAAGCCTTGTTTCAAAAAATCAAAACAAACAAATAAATATGTAAATAAGTAAAGGTAGAGGGCTGGTGAGATGGCTCAATGGTCAAGGGTGCTTGCTGCTCTTTCAGAGGCTTGGAATTTGGTCCCAGTACCCACACTGGGCAACTTCAAGTTCCTTTAGCCCCATTTCCAGAGATCTAGTGTTCTAGCCTCCATTGGTACTCATGTATACGTGCGCGTGTGTGCGCGCATGCGCACACACACACACACACACACACACACACACACGTAACTCCAGTTTAACGTCATTCAGGCATCCTGTAATCTCAGCACTCAGGCTGAGGCCTGAAGACCTGTGCTAGCCTAGGCTATCTAGTCAAGCATCCCACCACCACAAAAAACAAGAATCAAGTCCACAGTGGCGTCAGCTTGGCTCTTCCATGTTGGGTAGGTACTTCTGCAGAGAGGCACACTGAGGACGCGGCCTCACTCCTCCAGCCCAGAGAACCTTGGGCCTGCCTGCTATTACTGTCTTCACAGAGATGAGGAGCTTGAAGCTCAGAGTGGTTGATGTCTCACTTGAGGTCACACAGCAGGGAAGTGACAGGTGGGATTCGGGCTCAGCCAGTCTCGACAGACTGATGTGGGGCCAGGTTCAGGGGATGCTTTGTCTGAATAGCTTTGAACCCTTTTGCCTATGTTTGTTCCTCTTCACTGTGAGACTTCGGGTCCCTGATGGCTGTGACAGTGGGAAGACATGGTTTTTGGAGCTAGCCCAGCTAGGCCCTACTCCCTGTCCCAAACCTGTGGCCTTTTGACACATTACCCCTGAGTCTCTGTCCTAATCCATTGATCGGGTTCTGGATGCAGTGTCAGGGTCACCAAAAGGACTGTGTGAGGCACTTGAAGCATTTCAGGGGCCCAGGCTCCTGGGTGGCGCCTGGACTCATGAGCAGGTGGGTGGCAGGGCCCATAGGATAGGACACTGCCCAGTGTGCAGAAGCAGTCTGCGGGGCAGTCCGTGACAGGAAAACATCTGTGCTCTATTCCAGAAAATTAAAGCCGTCTACGACACTGACCCAGCCAAGTTCAGGACCCTGCAGAACATCCTGGAAGTGGAGAAGGGCATGTATGGAGCGGAGTGGCCCAAAGTGGGAGCCACACTGGCCCTGCTGTGGCTGAAAAGGTGATGGACTGGAGGTGGGGTGTGGCTGGGCCATGTTGGGCCAAGGGTGTCAACACTGCCATTTAATAGCCCCAAGAAGCTTCCCGAGGCTGACAGATGCATGGTGGCACTCCCTTGTTCTGGCCCCAGAGACAGCAGGGGAAGTGCACTTTCCAGCCTTAGTCTCCAGCCCCCTTCTTTACGCACCGGATAGAGTGGTCCAGGTGTGGCATCTCCCCATCACCGAGGAGGCCACGTCACAGTCCAGGTCGACTGAGCAGTGGTACGGATGGTGCACTGTGCAGAGGTAGCACGTCGTGCACGGGTGGATTTGTGTGTTAAGACTCCCTTGACAGGCATGTAGTAGGAGGGCTCTTGAGCTTGCACGAGTGACTTCCTTGAATCTTTTCAGTGGTCTGGTAGCTCTGGAACTCTCTAGCTGTGTGATTCCAGCAGCTGCTAAGAAGGCAGGGACCCTTGCCCTGCCCTCCAGCGTTTCCCACTATTGACATCTCAGGGGTCTGGGCCAGGACCCAGGAAGATAGCTTGTCCCCTGAAGGTCATCTCCTGGCCCCCAACACATACTTCTCTGGTGAACTGGACTTGGGGAAATTGGCTTCCCAGAGGTGGGCCGGGTGATCATCAGGATACAGTTGCTCTAAGAGCTGCTCCAGGCACACTGCCCAACCTTGTCGTCAGGCCTTGCAGGCCTGGACTGAGGAACATCCCCCGGTCCGTTTGCCCAGCGGTAGCAAGGCAGATGATGCCGCTCCTCCTATCTAAGTCACCTGTGGGCCTGTGGGTGACCAGAAAGGCAGTGCTGGCTCTGGAGCCGAGCCCAGAGGGACTGTGACAGAGCCCTGTTCTCAGTGCCCTGCTCCAGAAACTCTTGCCTGGGCAACCCCAGTCCCCTGCAGGAAGATAGCAGAGGCATTTGTTTGGGATCCAGTGATGGGTACATAAGGCAGGAGGCTGGTGAGCAGATGAAAGGGCACCTGGCTGTGCAGTGGCTGACGGTGCCCGGTTCAGCCCCATGCATTTGAAGCGGGTGGGATGGGGCTCCAAATGAGCTAGATGGAGAGGCTCAGCCCTTGGTCAGCTTCACTGGTTCTAGGCCCATCATGAGGCAAGACATCCTGCTAGCAGCACATGGCTGACAGGAAACAGGAGGTCGCTAGGGACTCTTCCTGCAGCTAGGTCCCGCTTCTCACAGCAACACCTAAGCCTTCAGCATAGGGGCCTCTGGGCACTTTTCCTGTTGTCTTAACTGCACTACGGGGCTGGCAGCGACTGCTTTCTATTCAGGGTTCCTGTTGTGCCCCATGAAGCATCTTAGGGTCACAGTGCAGTAGAGGCAAGCAGCCTGGGAGGCACATCTCTGGCCTTTGAACCTGCCAAGGGCCACACTGGCATCATCCTTTATGCCATGAGAGGCTGCAAGGACCCAGAATAGGCTCTGCTTGAGGCACGCTGCACCAGAGCTGGGTCATCACATACTCAGAAGTAGAACCGACACAGGTCACCTAGGGGAGGTACTCCCTGTGCATGCACCGATATGGGTCATGGACCTAAATGTCTGTCCCCTTGGACCACAGGGGCCTGCGCTTCATCCAGGTGTTCCTGCAGAGTATCTGTGACGGGGAACGGGATGAGAACCACCCTAACCTCATCCGTGTAAATGCCAACAAGGCCTATGAGATGGCCCTAAAGAAGTACCACGGCTGGCTAGTGCAGAAGATCTTCAAGGTGAGCCCCCACGGGACAAGAAGATTATGTTCCTTCCCACTGCCCTGGAAGGACTCACCTGTTCTATGGGATGGGGCTGGGGTACTTAGACCCTCATGCAACCACCGCCAACCCTGTTTGTGACCTCAGGTGCCCTTAGTGTCCCTGTGGGCCCCTCAGCCGGTTGGTTCCATGGCTGTGAGAAGAGTCAGGTCTGTAGACTCAAGAACCATGGGGTGATGGACTGGCCTCATTGGCTCTTCTTCACTCCTTCTCACCCCAGGCACAGAGGGGAAGAAGGGCCCTGTCCCCAAGGACGTAGCAGCTGTAAACACTCTGGCCCTCGGTTTACTGTGGCCTATGTTTGGGCAATACTGACTACAGCTCCTGGAAAAGACCTTTGTGCCAGCCTGGGTAGCCGAGGGGCCCTAGATTCATCAGGCTGGGAGTCAGAAGTCCTCCCAAATGTCCCTGGCTACCCTGCCCCTCACGATGTCCTCATCAGACTACCCCTCCTTCCCAAGAAGCCCAGGCTCTGACAGGAAGGGTCCCAAGGCAGGCTGGGTCCAGGCAGGAGAAAGTATGGCTACCTCTGGGCCTTCTACCTGGGCATGTTTGGGGTCAGGGCTCATTTCAAGCAGCCCACTCTCCCTGCAGTGTCTTCCTACGGAGCCCCTGCAAGCACCCTCAGGAAAGACAGTGTCCCATGTGTCACCCCAGCTGTCTGCGAGTGCACCGCTAGTGGGCGCTGTTTCAGACTCCGCCCTCTGATGATCTCAGGTCCCAGGGCTCAACCTGGGCCTGACTGACAGCTGCACCTCTGGCCAGGATGATCCTAGAGCACAGGAGTTCTGAGCCAGCCTGGGCAACATAACCAGGTTCCCATCTCAGAAACAGAAGTGGGCACCTGGGAGCCTGCCTCCCTGGGCCTCAGTGGCCTCATGTCTCACACCTCCAGACCTCTGGGAAAAGGAAGGAGTCCTGCACGGTGTGCAGCATATGGCTTAAGTCAGGGCCCCAAAGTAATTACTGTCTTCTCACGTGTGACCCCTCACTCCACAAACCAGGGTCTAGATGTTGTGTTTGGCTGTGTCTTTGTCCTCTGGCTCTAAGGTTCTATGAATTTCTGGTTCTCTGCCTTTCGAAGTATTGAAGTATCCCCCAAATTTAACCAAGGACAGAATAATGTGTACCTGTTGCTGCGTGAGCATCTGTGTACCCTGAGCTATGTAGAGCGCTTCACACAATCTCCATAATCATTCTGTTGTGTGGTTTTGTGTTTATGAGACAGGGTTGCACTGTGTAGTCCTGGCTGTCCTGGAACTCACTCTGTAGACCAGGCTGGTCTCGAACTCACAGAGATCTATCTGCCTGCCTCTGATTCCCGAGCTCTGGAACTAACAGTGTGCACCACCACTGCCCCGCTATCCCCTCCCTAATCTTAACACAAGCAACCAAATTGAGTGAATATAGCTAAGGAACTTCCTCAAGACACAAGCTTCAGTGTGCACTTGCTGTCTATCTGTACTCCAAGCTGGTGCTGGTGTCCTGCTGTCCCTTACAAGGGAAGGGAGCATGCACTTTTCTTTTCCCTTCCAATATGAGCAGAGTGTCCCGCCCAGCACAGGCGTCAGGGCTGCACACCCCTTGGTGCCCAGCGTGCTAGCCTGATCTTGCCCCACTAATACTGCACCTGCCTTTCCTCTTCCCTCTCAAGGCAGCACTGTATGCAGCACCCTACAAGTCTGACTTCCTGAAGGCTCTCTCCAAGGGGCAGAACGTGACGGAGGAGGAGTGCCTTGAGAAGATCCGCCTCTTCCTGGTCAACTACACAGCCACCATCGACGCCATCTATGACATGTACACTAAGATGAACGCAGAGCTTGACTATACAGTGTAGGCGCTCAGACACAGCCCCACGCGGGAGCAAGCAAGCCCGAATCACTGTGAATCAAGCTGGGGTGCCCAGCTCAGCCGCCAGGCCAGTCTACGTCTGCAGGGGGCAGCCTCAGCTTGTTCGAGGTCATTTGTTTTGGTTTGGTTTGTTGCCTGTTCTAGTGGAGCAATAAACACCTCCTGCTTTCCCAGCGGCCCAGGCTGAGCAGGCCTTCCCTCCAGTGTGGTCAAAACCAATTAACGTTGCTCAATTAACGTTGCTAACGATCAAGTTCTAGGGTTTTCTGTCTTTTCCTCCCCTACCCAGCTCAGGAGGAGCCCAGCCTGGGGTAGACATACACCTCACCCAGCAAAGAAACCTGATCCATCTGGCCCAAGGATGTCTTAGATGTTCGGAGCACGATGGAGTCTGACTGGAAGTTCAGCAGGGTCCCTACTGTGGTGTCTGTTTAAAAAGCAAGCTGGTGGGAGCCCTCAACATGGCTGGCACATCTGCCCTTGCCAGCCCTGCTCTCTCTCTTTCACTCTGTCTTTTGTCAGACAGGTTGTTTTGTTTTGTTTTGTTTTAGCCGAAATGAACCAGCAAGCCTTTTCAGATGACTGACTAGGCACACAAGTGACCATACATGACTGTATTTGCATTCTTCTGCATAATTATTTTCTTCAGGGATGGCTTTTCCAACCTAAGAAACTGCCTGTCATGGGAGCCCTCCAGCTGTGGAGACCCAAGAAACTGCCTTGCTGCCTTAACTGTCCTTCTGGCGCTAAAAAGAGCTATATTTTTTAAAGTATTGGGGTAAACAAACCCTGGAAGAATTGATGTATGTTAAAGAAAAAAAAACCCAATGAGGAACAATTGGTGATTTTTATGCAGAAATTAAATAATCCTTAATAAATAAATCTATATTTTGAAATCATATCTGGTGCTTCTGTGGTTCTTAATCTTTTGTTATTTTCTGTATCAGAGTTTACACCTTGGAGGAGGGGGCTTTGCTGAGCAGTTGCTTTCTCCTGCTAGGCCTGTGGACTCATCTGTGCTGCCTTTCTTTTTTTTTCTTTTTTTTTTAAATATTTATTTTATTTTATTATGTATACAATATTCTGTCTATGTGTATGCCTGCAGGCCAGAAGAGGGCACCAGACCCCATTACAGATGGTTGTGAGCCACCATGTGGTTGACTGGGAATTGAACTCAGGACCTTTGGAAGAGCAGGCAATGCTCTTAACCTCTGAGCCATCTCTCCAGCCCCTGCCTTTCTTGACTGCAAGCTGGTGCAGGAGGGCCCAGCTCACCTCAGCGCTGCCATCCCCAGGCCGCAGGGCCTGTGCTGTATAAGAAAGGAGGCAGGAAGCAAAAATCATTGCTTTGTGGGCTCTACTTCAGTTCCCATCTCCAGCTTCCTGCCTTGGCTTCACTTTGTGGTAGTCTGTAACCTGCTTTGCTCTGTGATGAACAGTGACCTGTGAACCAAATCAGTTCTTTACCCCCCAAGGTAGTTTTGGCCACAGCCACAGAAAGCAGACAAGAACAGGGACCCTTAAGCCAAACCTTGCAAAGACCTGTCTTCTGGCCTCTGATTTAAAAAATATAACTGACAGCCACATAGGAACACTAAGTGAGGTTTCACAGAAAAATTATATATGTAATTCCTTTTGAAACAGCAGGAGCCAGACATGGTGCCATGTGCTGGGAATTCCAGCACTTCAGAGGCTGAGGTTGGAGGATTGTAATTCCAGGCTAACCTGGGCTACATAACAAGATCATTGAGCAAGAGAGGAAGGGGAGAGAATTGTGGCTCTCTATAGGAGCTGAAAAATGACCATCCGTTGGCTAGAAAGGAAGGAAAGGAGGCTCATTTGCTTTCATTCCCACCCAGCCCCATGACCAAAGGCCGACCTAGGGCTACACGGAAAGGAAGGTGCTTCCCTTGATCTCTGCTCTCCAGAGTGGGCAGTCTTAGAGTATAAGGCGGGTTAGTGCCAGAGGGAGTAGGAGCTGCAGGTGAGATGCCACACCCGGGATGCACCTTGAGGAATCAGAACTTGCTAGGAAGCCAGGGCTTGGGCGGGAAGGAAATGCTCCAGGGCAGACAGGTGTCAGGACCTTGAGTAGGTTCAGATGTGCACCACACATGGTTACTGTGGCATTGGGACTTCACCCTGGAAATTATGGATCACCTCCAGAGGCTCGAGCCTCTGGATACCGGATTTGGAAGGCTGCCTCAGATATGGCTAAGGGTGGAAGGCAGAACCAAGCTGTTCGTTGTCTCCTACTTCATGGTATGTTCTAGTATTGCTGAAACTCAGAATGCCGCTCTTATTCCTACACTCTAATTGCTTTCAGAGCTTGGGCTTCCTAGAATCACAGCACTCATTTGAAATGACTAGTCTCAAACTCATTCTAATGTGCCCAAGTTACCGACGACAGATGAAAGCTCCCTTCGCTCTTCACGCCTCAGTTTCCTTATCTGTAACGCCCAGGTCTTGTCACATTTAAATAGAAATCTTACCGCAGTATCTATAATGCGACTGCAGCGCTTTGGAGCTGCTTAGCGAGTGTTAAAACTGCACCCCCAAGTGGAGGACGCGTGAGATGTGACCTAGTATAGAGCTCGTGCGCCACCAATCCCCACCCCCGCGGTTCCGACTCGGCCAATGGACCCATACCCGTAGTTCCCGCGGATCCAGGTAGGTGGCGCTGTCGGCACGCGCTGCTGCCGTGGAGCCAGGGGCGGGGCCTTCCAGCCCCTCCTCCCTGCCCCGCAAGTGGCCACGCCCACAGTGGGAGCTCAGAAAGCTTCCGCTTTCTGGCTCAAGGAGTACTGCGAAAGTCCTGGCTCCTTTTCTATTGCCATTGCTGCATTTTCAGCACCTGACAGTTCTGGGATCCAGTTCCGCGGCTCTTTCGGTCAGTCTCTCTGAGACCGTTTCCCCACCTGTACGAGACAGGAGCATCTCTGCTTTTCAGGATTATATAAAGTACTGTGTGAAAATGCCCAATGCAAAAACAAACAAGCAAACAGGACTGGAGAGGTGCCTGCTCTTCCAGAAGACCCAGGTTCCATTTCCAGTACCCACATTGAGGGTGACAGCCGGTTGTAACTCCAGTTCCATGGGACAAATGCCCTCTTCTGATCTCTGTGGACATTGCAAGGCATGTGGTGCACACACATACACACAGGCAAAATACTCATACAGTAAAATAACTTCTCTTTAATTTAACAAAATGCCTGATGCACGGGAAATGGTCAACACTCACCTTTGCTAATTTTTTTCTTATTATTTATTGTGATTCTGCCACATGGCCAGAGCTCCTGAAGGGACAGCCCAGCCCCCACTTCTTGTTCTTAACCAAACTGCAAAATCCATGCCAACACAATAAAGAACAGCTCAGGAGCCGGGTGTGGTGATGTATATCTGTAATCCCAGCACTTAGGAGGCAGAGACCAACCTGGTCTACATAGAGAGTTCCAGGCTAGCCAGGGCTGTATAGTGAGATCTCAAACAAATGGCCTAGAACATGTCCTGTAATCTGGCCGCTCTTCCTCCCTCTCCCCGGGTGTGTTGTGTGACTCTGGGCCTCTGTTTTGTCATCTTTAAATGGGGGGGCGGTTAAGACGTTTCAAAATTCTGGCTCCCCTGTTAATCTGCAATGGACGCCTAAACCCTAAAACCAGCCTCTGACTTGTCCTAGCTAAGCAGTGATATTCATCCTCTGTGGCCTGGGATGGGACCACACATGCAGGGGCTCAGTGCAGCCTTGAGCTCTAGAGAAGGCTGACAAATGGCTGATTTGGAGACCTTGGCCTGAGATGCTGCCTGGAAGGCTGAGTCCTTCGGCTCCTGTTTACTGAGCACCTACTGTGTGCAAGACCCTGACATAGGCTCAGGGAATCCTGCAACAAGACACAGAGGCGCCTAGCCTCAGGCACAGCGCAGGGGAGGAGTCACAAAGCTTGGGTGGGGGTATGGCTGACAGGGTCAAGACTTAAACTGGGGGTTGGGTGAGCTCTCTGAAAGAGGGCTTAAATCTCATCAGGCTGTGGAGAGAGGCAGGTAATAGCCAGTGCAAAGGCCAGAGGGTTGGGAAGGAGGGGAGCATTGTGTCTTTCCTGGTCAGGCAAGTTCTCCAGCTGAGCTGTGCCCAGAAGGGAGTTGGAAAGTCTTAGGGACAAAGGAGACCCCTGTAGCCAGAGGCAGTCTAGGAAAGATGCTGCATTTAGCTAGAGGGTTTGGTTTCTGTCCTAAGAACAGGGAGCTGGTCTTACCACTCCTGAGAGGACAGTGGCAAGTTCACACTGTAAGGAGCTGTGGCCAGGTGCTCAAGGAGGCCCCTGTTATGGACTCCGGAAAACAGCTGTGCCTTTCCCTGTCCTAATAAAAGTCTGGCTCTTTCCTGCAGGCTCAGACACAGGCACCAGCATCACTGCCTTTGTGGCCAGACCTGGTGGAGGGGTGGGGGGGGGGTCTTCCAAGTCGTACTCCTGGGACTGGGACTATAGCACTCAGCAAAGGGAGGCAAAGCCCCAGCATAGCCTAGACGGGCTATGGTCTAGGTGGTGGCTGGTACAGGCCTATTATCCTAGACTGGGGAGGTAGTAACAGGAGGACCAGAAGTTCAAGGTCACCCTCAGCTACACAGCAAATTCAAAGCAAGCCCCGAATACTTGCAACTTTATCTCCAAAATAAAAAACAGAAAACTGTCATAGTCTTCGCTTCAGACAGACCCGTCACATCGCACAGATCTTCATCTGCACCAGCAGCCACCCGGGGACCCCTGTTAAGAAACCCTAATGTCCCCTCCCTCCCTGGTGACCTCGGAAGTGCCCCGGCCAGCGGTGGCTAGGCTACACCCGCAGGCTACCAGGCCAACTGCCCAGAGGGTTGGCATCACACCCAATGGCTAAGCTCTTTGAGTGGCCGTGCCCATGGTTACGGTCATCTGAGGAGACGGGCTTCCACCCCACCTGGCCTCAGGTTTCTGCCCTAGGGAGAATTCCAGGAGAGCGTGATTGAAGCTGGTTCTTTGGCAGGGTGGAGTCTCAGGCTCTGGGAAGAACGCCAGCTCTTTTCAGGACCAAGGTACACAAACCAACTCATCGTCCTCAGCCTCCTTGGACTGTGTGTCTCCATGGCTTCTGGGAAGAGCTGGGTCTGCGACTTCAGGGGGAGCTCATCTGAGCCTGGCCTAGGCTGTGTGGCTCTGGAAAGACGTCTTTGCCCTCTGGGTATATGCTCCCTCTCCTGTATCCAGGAGGAGTTCCAGAGGACAAAGGTCAACATGGTACCTGGTGCACACCAAGTCCTACATAAATGCACATTTCCCAGTGCTAATGTGTGTGAGTATGTGTGTGTGTGTGTGTCTAAAAACATATGCTATATTTACACGGTGAAAGGAAATAATTTATAGCAGCATTTAGAGATTAGGCCAAACTTACATTTCCAGTTTAAAAATGAAGCAAAAGTGTAGGAGCTGATACCCTAAAGAATTCCCCCACTTGCAGGGCTGTGTTCCATTCCCAGCGCCACTTACAGCAGTCCCGGTGTCACACCCGTGATTCTAGCACTCGGGAGGGTCAGAAGTTCGAGGTCATCCTCAGCCTGTGTTAGAAAATGTAAAAAAGAATCCTTTTGTAAAAGAAATTGTAAGGTGTGTTTTGATGAGGTTGCATTGTTCCTTTAGATTCGGGGGTGACTGAGGAGCACAATTATGGTCACAGACATTCTGAACCTAAGTGAGAAACCCTCAGCGGCTGCACTTAGCATCCTTGTTTGAGGTGTCGCGAGGAAAACACAATCTCTGGTCACGGGGGTGGGGGGGGGGAGGACACCACGGACGGGGGAACGGACGGACAGGCTATGCACCGGCACTGAGTCAGCCTTCTCCCCTTCTCCTGACTCCTAATTTACTTTTCC